CAACTGGGGGCAGAAAAAAATAAACAAGTTAAAAAATATCACTATTAAAAAAAATAAAAACTGTGTTTTAACCACAAAAAAACCAACCCCCTCTCGTTTTTAAAAAAATAAATAAATCATATAAAAAAAAACCCCCATTTTAAACAAGAAATTTTAAGTGGCGCATAATCAAATTCGTGCAAAAGAACAAAAAAAGTATAAAAGTAAATAAAAATATTAAACACAAACTATATATATAAAAAAAAAAATATATTTATTATTTTAAAAATTTAAAAAAAAATTTTTGTTTTATAACCCAAAAAAAAGGGTCCAAACTGATTTTTTTGGGATTTTTTTTTGGATTATACAAAAATTTTTTTTAATTTTAATATATAAATTTTTTGTGTTGAATTTTTCATTCACTTTTATACATTTTTACTGTCTCTTTTTTTGCACAGATTATTGATTATGCCACTTTAAATATTACTTGCTAAAGTGTTTATTTATATTATTACGATTGGAAAAAATGAATACAACACATTACTTACAATACAGCATAATAGACAATTAATACACCATTAATGACAACACAATACGGCATACATAGAACCAGAACACAAGCTGGTCCTCTATCAGCTGTGTACATCGCAACTGCTGCTTCCCCAATTTGTCATCAATGGTACCTACCCTATAAGCCTGTGTGAGCGGATGCGCAGAACACTTGTTTCACCAAACCTCATGTGGCTAAGCTCAGTGTCCTTCGCTTCGGAGCATCCGTCGCATCCTTAAATACGTCTGTGTAAACAAGGCCTTAAGACTTCATTATATAGCTTTGTAATAACTAGATCTGGACTTTAAAGTAGAGCTGAGCTCAGGAAAAGCACAATCCAACTATTTATTTATTATAAATTAATATTTATATCTCGACAAGCAAAAAAAATTCTAAAACAAGCCCCCAGTGGCCTTTCTAGTTACCTGCACCATGGAGTAATTGAACCTCAAAATTTGAGAAAAAATACTTCCAATAGTTTTCTATTGTTAGATTTTTTTTTACATGAATCTTTATTCCAGTTTATATATTATTACATGCATTTACATTTATTATATCAGTTTTCCCTTCCGCACCAGTTCCCCATGCATGTTCCATCTCCATTTACCTCCAATGAACACATCTTTCTTACAAAATCAAGTGATCAAAAAAAGCTCCGATTTTGTACAAAGAGGTAAAACTTGTTGCAGCGGAGCGGAGTGAGGTTATGAAACCATGTGAGTGACATAACCTCATTACCGTTACTCTTATTTTAGTACATGTGCACATTAGGTAGGAGGGCTACATGCTACTGGTGTCAATGAGGCCAACCGATAAGCTATATGGACGGCTGGAAGCAGGGTGGACTGACCATTTGGAAACTCGGCAACTGCCCGAGGGCCTGGGTCAGTAGGGGGGCCCCATGAGAGTTGCCCCTGGTACCTTTTTCACATAGGCTTTTTGAGTTTGGGGCAAGGACACTGGGGCCCCATGATCCCATATATTGACCGGGGCGCCCCATGAGTTGTCAGTCCACCCCTGGCTGGAAGTCTCTGCTATGGAGCACTTTAACCCTCTTGTTTCCATTCCCCTGATTTATAACACAAACACCTCACATGTGCTGTTAATGAGGGTAATTTCCAACAAATGATTAAATCTCTGAATGGCATAGGGATTGACAATTGACTGTAGATTAGCTATAGAGTTATCACACACACCCGAAACATGTATACAATCAAACACTGCTCTGGCAGCACAATGTCTCCCTGCCACTGATGAGAATGCTCCTTACATTGGTGATCAGTGGGATGAAATGCCCCCTTACATTGGTGGTCAGCTAGAAAATGCCCCTTACATTGCGTGATCAGTGGGAAGAATACCCCTTACATTGGTGATCAGCGCGGGAAGAATGTTCCTTACATTGGTGAGATCAGTGGGAAAGAATGCCGCCTTACAATTGGTGGTCAGCTTAGAAGAATGCCCCTTACATTGGTGATCAGTTGGAAGAAATAACCCCTTACATGTGGTGATCAGGTGGGAAGAATGTCCCTTTACATTGGTGATTAGTGGGAAGAATGTTCCCTTACATTGGTGATCAGTGAGAAGAAATGCTCCTTACATTGGTGATCAGTTTGAAGAATGTCCTTACAATGGTGATCAGCGGGAAGAATGTTCCTTACATTTGGTGATCAGTGGGAAGAATACCCCTTACATTGGTGATCAGTGGGAAGAATGTCCCTTACATTGCTGATCAGTGGTAAGGATATCGCTCCTTACATTGGTGATCAGTGGGAAAAAATGTCCCTTACATTGGTGATCAGTGGGGAAGAATGTTTCCTTACATTAGGTGATCAAGTGGGAAGAATGCCCCTTACATTGGTGGTCAGTGGGAAGAATGTCCCTTACATTTGGTGATCAGTGGGAAGAATGTTTCCTTACATTGGTGATTCAGTGGAAGAATGCCCCTTACATTGGTGGGTCAGTGGGAAGAATGCCCCTTACATTGGTGATCAGTGGGAAGAATGTCCCTTACATTGGTGATCAGTAGGAAGAATACCCCTTACATTGGTGATCAGTGGGAAGAATGTCCCTTATATTGCTGATCAGTGGGAAGAATGTCCCTTACATTGGTGGTCAGCTAGAAGAATGCCCCTTACATGTGGTGGATCAGTGGGGAAGAATACCCCTTACATTGGTGATCAGTGGGAAGAATGCACCTTACATTGGTGGTCAGTGGTAAGAATGTCCCTTACATTGCTGATCAGTGGAAGAATGTTCCTTACATTGGGTGATCAGTAGGGAAGAATGCTCCTTACACAATGGTGATCAGTGGGAAGAATGTTCCTTACATTGGTGACCAGTTGGAAGAATGCTCCTTACATTGGTGATCAATGGGAAGAATGCCCATTACCATTTGGTGATCAGTGGGAAGAATGCTCCTTTTCATTGCTGGTCAGTGAGAAGAATGCTCCTTACATTGGTGGTCATTGGGAAGAATGCTCCTTACATTGGTGATCAGTGGGAAGAATGGCCTTTACATTTTTGGTGGTCAGTGGGAAAAGAATTCTCCTTACATTGGTAGTCAGCAGGAAGAATGCCCCTTACAATTGGTGATCATGTGGGAAGAAATGCTCCTTACATTGGTGGTCATGTGGAAGAATGCTCCTTACATTGGTGATCAGTGGGAAGAATGCTTCTTATACATTGGTGGTCAGTGGGAGAGAATGCTCCTTACAATGGTGGTCAGTGGGAAGAATGCTCCTTACATTGGTGATCAGTGGGCAGCATGCTCCTTACGTTGGTTGGTTAGTGGAAAGAATGTCCCCTTACTATGGTGGCCATTAGGAAGAATGTCCCCCCCCCTCCCATATCTGACTAAAAAGATCATTGATGCCGATTGGTAACACTATTTAAGAGGCAGAAATTGCTGGTTGCTCAAGGAAACCCCCAAGACAAAAGCTGAGGGAACCCTATGGTCAGGTGCATTGCTTTGGCCAATCACAATGCACTGTCAGGGCGCAGTGCATTGTGGAGCGAGGCGGGCGCGAACAGCCGAACACACAAACGGTGCCGATGTTCAAGTCGAACTTATGTTCGACTGAAATATCAAGCCCAACATTACCATAGATATACTTATAATGACGTATTAATGATTACAGAGCTGCATTACAGAGCAGTGCCCGAGTTCCCAAATGGTCAGTCCGATCCGCCCCTGGCCGAAACACAGGAGACAGCTTTCACCCCAATACGAAAGACTGTCATGGCAGGATCACCAGAATATTATTTTAATGAAAACTGCAAATTTAAAAACAACTTTAGAACTAGGAACTTGCATATATTAAAGCCTTTATTAGATTTTAATGCTTTGGTTTAACTTTACATTTAGAATAAGGCCTTTTCTGACACTTTTTGTTAACATGTATAAATCAGTATTGTTTACTAGTAAATTACTTAGAACCCCCTAAACCTTCTATATTTTTTTAAATCAGAGGGTCCAAGTGCCCTTCATCTGACATTCACAGCAATACCTCACATGTGTGGGATGATTGCCGTTTGTGGGCATGCGGGAATAAAGCAAGCGCTCCCCTTTGCCCGTGAGGATGGGGGGGGGATTGGCACTTAAAAAATGTTTAAAAAATATTTATTATTTCTTTTTTTTTTTTTTACACTGTTGCTTTAATCTTTTTAATATAAATATACCCTGTGATAGCAATTGGCAATTTCAGTTCCTCTTTATGGAGAGATCTGAGGTCTATTGGACCCCGGATGTCTTTTTCTGCTCTTAAAAGCATCTGATCACAGCAAGATCAGGGTAATCAGATGCTTTCCCAATTTAAATATGGCATTGTTTACATCTAAGGAAACTGGAAGTGATGAATTCTCATCACTTTCAGTTTCCTACACCATAGAGGTGATCAGGGTTGTTTCAGTCTCGGCTCACCTCTATGATCAGCTGGCAGAAGCACCGGCTGGTCTCTTGGGTCTCCTGGTGGGATGTGAGAGCCTGAGAGATTTGTGGAAGGCAGTGGAGGGTACGCTGCTAGGATTGCTTTTTTGAGAAAGCCGACTGTTGGCTTTAAAAAACAATATCCATCAGATGGTGGATTGAACAGTGCTCCTTGAGATGTTTAAAGCTTGCGATCATTTTTTTTTTTTTGATAACCTAACCCTACTTTAAACTTCTCCACAACTTTATCCTTGACCTGTCTGCTGAGTTCCTTAGCCTTCATGATGCTGTTTGTTCACTAATGTTCTCTAACAAACCTCTGAGGGCTTCACAGAACAGCTGTATTTATACTGAGATTAAATGATACACAGGTGGACTCTATTTACTAATTAGGCGACTTCTGAAGGCAATTGGTTCCACTAGATTTTAGTTAGGGGTATCAGTGTAAAACGGGCTAAATACGAATGCACACCACACTTTTCAGATATTTCTTTTTACAAAATTTTGAAAACCATTTATGATTTTCCTTCCATTTCACAATTATGCGCAACTTTGTGTTGGTCTGTCGCATAAAATCCCAATAAAATACATTTACGTTTTTAGTTGTAACATGACAAAATGTGGAAAATTTCAAGAGGTATGAATACTTTTTCAATGCACTGTAGGTGACAAAACAGGTTAGACCATAAACTTTATTCTAATCTCCACTAGAAATCCAAGACCTGCCACAACAAACCTATGCAGAGAAGATACAGTCATGACCAAAAATATTGGCAACCCAGCATTTCTGTCAGATAACGCATTACTTCGCCCACAAAATTGTCGCAATTACAAATGTTTCGGCATTCTCATATTTACTTGTTTTGGTATGATACAAAAAAGTGGAGAAACAAAAAGCCAAATCTGACACATTCCACGCAAAACCCAAAAAAGGACTGGACAAAATTATTGGCACCTTCTCAAAATTGTAAGAAATAATTGCATTCCAAGTTTGGGCCCCTTCACACGGGGTGGACCCATTTAGCGGATCCGGATAACAGGTCTGTGTCCCCCTCAGCTGCTACAGAGGGGACATAGAGCAGCTCTCTCGCCTCAATGGGTGGGCTGTCCCTTTTTTGCGGGTTGGATCGGATTGGACATGTCCGTTTACACCCGCCACTCCATAGAGAAGAATGGAGGTTTTGATCGGGTCCACCTGAAAAATGGGCAGGCGGACCCGATCAGAACGTCCATGTAAAAGAGGCCTTAGTTATGCTCCTGTAATTTGTCATTAAACTTACCTGTGTCAATGGACAGGTTCTGACAACATAGAAATCACACCGACAACCAGTTAAAATGGTGAAAAATTAATTCAACCTTTCTGTTGTGTGTCTCTCTGCCCCTGTTTCGGAGCAGTAATGGGCTGTTAGTAGAATTAGAAGGAACTCAGCACACCATCTGTAGAAAGTATTTGAAAGGGTACAATGACAAATTGGGATCTGAATGCTAATTGGGCCCCCTTCCTCCACAACCCCCCACCTCCAAAAAAAATTTTTTTAAAAATCTGGAGATTGTATAAACTCTCCGCTCTTATCCATTCCTTGCAGCTTTCTTTATGGGGTGATGCTTGGCCCACTGATGGTGCCCATTGTCTCTCTTGGGCCTTTGGTGGGGTACCAGGCAAAGCCATGATTAACTCTAAGTATCTCCCCTGAGATCAGCTAAACTCCTTGGCACGTTGTGATGTTTACCAATCTCTCGCATCCCCTTAAACAAACCTTTCCCGGCTGTCTCATCCATCCTAATTCTTTCTGATTACAGAGGACTCCCCAGGGGGATAGCTTTATCCTCACTGGCAGATCCCATCCCTACACCTCCATCATTCTGCTACAAGGCAGAGCTTATTGCTGGTGTGAATGGCTCCAATCAGGGGAGAGTTACGAGCTCGGAGGGGGGAGTAAGGCGGGAGGCAGAGGAAGCCTTTAGGGACTGCAGCTTTCCTTGAATTGTTCCCAATGACTCTTTATAAATTGCCACATAAAGAAGGTTCTATTTTTTTTTATCCATCCTATCTCTGCTCGTTTATGCCATTTAGCCTTTCACAGGGAAGGCAATAAGGCCTCTTAACGGATGGATTGCCACGGGGTCATCGCGACTTTATCCCTTTCTGTCTGGCAACAGATTTGACTTAACTTTCATCCTTGGCATTGAAGCTGAAAGCCCAATAATAATCAATGCTTCCCCAAATCCTTAATGTTGACTGCAGAGCTACCGGCATGACGGTGCCTGCATAAAACATTTAGAGGTAGCAGCTGCTTGTGGCACTGGAGGAGTCTGATGATGATTTTTAGAGAATAAGAGCACTTTGAGGCAAAAATAAAAATCAACCGTTATGTATCTATACAGCACATGCCTTCTGTAAACTGTCTGGATGTATGTACAAGGGAAGTGTGGTACAGGAAAGAAGCCAAACAACGTGACAAGACTGTATCAGAAAAGTGGCTACATGCAAATACGAAGAATTGGGCATGTTTAAATTGTATATATATGTATTTCAACCACATTTTTTTTTTCAGCTAATTAAAACAAGTATATGTACAGTTGTGTTCAAAATAATAGCAGTCAGACATCACTAACCGGATCAATCACTGTTTTTGGTAGAAATTATATTTCTACATGGCAAATAATTTCCTAGCAGGTGTAGTAGAGTAATAGAAATCCAACAGACCCAACAGTCATGACATGCATGCTGCTGATTCTGTGTCATTGAATCACTCATTGAAAGGGGCGTGTTCAAAATAATAGCAGTGTGGAGTTCTATTAGTGAGGTCATTCATTCTTTGAAAAACAGGTGGCAATTATTGCCCTTATTTAGGGAAGGAAGGCAGCAAATGCTGTACATGCTGGTTACAGTGCATTTCTCTCTGAAACTCTGAGGAAAATGGGTCGTTCCAGACATTGTTCAGAAGAACAGCGTACCTTGATTAAAAAGTTGATTGGAGAGGGGAAAACATATAAAGAAGTGCAGAAAATGATCGGCTGCTCAGCTAAAATGATCGCAAATGCTTTAAAATGGCAACCAAAACCTG